AGACATTACATTTTCTAATTGCATAGCTTTTGCACATAGATTTTCTTGATGGATGATGCGATGAAATATAAATAATTTTGAAAAATTCTGTTCTCCCATTTTTTGTTTGAATAAGGAAATGACTCCCTTATTTTTTCCTGTCATTGCTGCCGCAACACTTCAGAAAATAATATTCAATTTAAACTAGACGAATTACATCGAAAAATATTTATTTATAATTTCTTCTAAGCATCTCGCGGGCCGGATAGAAACTCTTCGCGGGCCGGGGGTTGCCCACCGTTGGTTTAAATTAACTACGGTAGTAAAGAAACAAGGGGAAGCTACACTAAGCAATGAAGTAACAGTATAATGACTTTGTTATGTTTTATAATTCACGCAAAATTAGGTAACAATTTATTGAACATGTGATAACATTCGAGCATTTTTAGTAGTAACTTTCGGTCGTTAACAGAATTTTTTTCTCTTGTAAAAAATGAAGCGTGCAAGCGATGTAGAAGTGAATAATTTTAGTCGTTAGCAAAGGTCTGTGTGAGGTGAGTTCACAACCAATTTGCAAGATGTTCAAGCAACCGTCATTCAAAATCTCATTGATTATCATAAAGTACACGTTTGTTTGTTGTAAGTTACGCAAAGATTTTAAAACAATGGATTATAAAAAAAACAAGCAATTTATGTAATGCCTGTATTGGATGGCATAAAAATCCTTTCGACTTTATATCTGTTAATGCACTTTTGACAGTGGGAAGAGGATCCTCGTTGATAATAGCATCTAAAGTTAAGCAGAAAAATTGCAGGGAACATTTCCCTGTATGTTGTTGGTGTGCTGTCTATTGTATGGTGATATTGTATAATAGCGCCGAACGGTGGACTATAACAAAAACCGAGCAGAAACACAAATATTAAAGACAACGTCGGGAATCACGCTAGGGAGAAATATACAAGACAAATATATGATTTTTACAGTTATTATTTTTGAATGTCAATATTAATTGTATAATATTAAGTTAGTTTTATCATCTTTATAATAATTAATAACCACTAATGTACACTTGTGTATTATTTATTGTATAACTTGATTGTAAATTGTTGTAAATTTAAATTGTAAAATTGCCATATGCACTGTCCTTGGTATTGTATAAATTATGTATTTATATTTTAAAACAACCAATTGAAAAGCAGGCAAATTTATAAAATAAAAATTAATGAAATTACTAAAAAGATTAAAATAAATTTAAATTTGATTATCTTTTCAGCGAAACAACAATAAAACATTTTATTATTTTATTTTTTAAAAACAATTTATTAATTTATTATTAGTTACGTCACCAAAGAAAAAAAGGTTGCAATTATTAAAAAAATTGTAATTAGGGTTTCAAACAGGGCTGTGGAATCGGAGTGTACATGAGGCGCAGACGAATTTGAATTAAATGGCCCCATGTACTGTACAGTACAGTGTTGACTTGAGATATTTTTCCTATAAAAAATTGGTTTGGAGCCAATATAGGAGATGTTAAGCAGGAGAAAAGCGCCTCTCTCGTCCTCCTCCACCTCCTCCTCTTCCACTTCCCTTCGAGTGATTCGGGTGCTTGCGAAAGATGTTGAGCGGAAGTCGCCTACACCCGACAAGAAACGGGCGGTTGTCATATCTCCGAACGAAAGCACCTCGTCTCTGGTCGAGTACCTGGAACGATGATATCCGGAAGTTGCGGAATGGACGAAGGAGAGGAGGTCGCGCGAGGTAGGACTCGACGGACAGGAGTCAAAAGAAATCCGCCGAGGTTATCTTCCACCGAAGTCAACTTTGCCACGCGCAAATGACCTTTCACCCGACTACGACTTAATGAATTGGACTCGACTTTTCATTCGGCTTGGTTCCTTTCCTTTCCAATTTACGGACAGATACTTCGGCGCCGTCCCAGGACTCGTGCTTCCACTTCCATTAAATTAAAGTGTACAGAACAACGACGGTGTGATGTCTATCGTCGCAAAGTGACGCCGAAAACACAAAGCAGTGTTTCTTCAGTTTAAAAACTCTTGTTTAAATGACTATAACAGGCCGAAGCGACTTATATTTTACAGACATTTACACTGTATATCAACAAATGGTAGATAGTGGCCACTTGTATGCACTACAAGTCAATGTTAAATTTTAATAGAAAATGAAAGAAAACTAATCGTAGTCAGTATATGTGCAAACCTGAATAATGACTTCGAAAATTAAATTTGTAAATAGAGTTATCTTACTTGTAAAACATTTTTATATATTTAATAAAACTTAATACGAGATTCGATATTTATGAAAACAAAATATTATAAAACTACCAGGGCTGTGGAGTCGCGTAAAAATCTACCGACTCCAACTCCGACTCCGACTACGACCAGGGGCGGACTTGTTACCGAAAGACCCCCCAGAAATTCTGATGTCACCACGTGACCTCAGAATAAAAGATTCAATAAATAGAGTTCTAATAAAGATAGACCGTAGAAACTTTTTATTCCAAAGCTATAAGACTCCTCTAAGTAATATATAAATATGTATTCGATAATTTTTACTTTTCCGGCTGTTATATATAACAGAGGAAAAGTGTAGCGCTCGGTCAAAAAATGACCCCTCCCAAATTTTTACATTTTTGGACTCAAGACACCGTAAAATTTCAAGATATGCAAAAGATTCGAGGTTTTTTCTATATGTGTGGATGTTAGACTGTGTGAGGGGCAGTGGCGTAGCGTGGGTGTCATCCGCCCGGGGCAGAGGAAAATTTCGCCGCCCCCTTATTTAGGTATCTCAATTTAAAAGACTAAAATTCAGTTTCGTCACAGAATAAGTAATGAAAAATTCCATGCTAGTATTGCCATCTTTTTAAAATCGCTGATCCGGACGGCAGGTGAGGTTTGTTCGAACAGAAGTTCCTGACGCATGCGCAATGTCATTTTGCAATGAGAAGAATAACGTGCAGTGCATGCCGATCCTAAATCAGTTACAGTTAGCGATTAGGGAGACTTGGATAGGAGTAACGCAAGTGACCTAGCTCTATTGGATACTGGAGATGTATGTGATTACGAATGAATCGTACAAGCAAACAAATAAAGAAAAAAAAGAGGGTCGACAGGTTGCGCACGATATCCCCGAACGGCGAGTCGGACTCCCACTATTCCGTGCTCATTTCAATCGGTCCGAATCGTAGGTGGACGAAAATATGAAATAAAATGGTTCAAATTCTTACAATATATTATTATTATTTATTGTGAAATTTTGCCGCTCCCTAAAACGTAATTTTGCTGCCCCCTAAAAAGTTGTCCGGGGCGGGCCGCCCCTGCCGCCCCCTTTTCGCTACGCTACTGGTGGGGGCATGATTTTTCATGCCCCTCACCAGTAGCGTTTACCAGTTCACCCTGTTTGAAGTCTAATAATTTCTGTAATCAGAGTGGTCAGCATCGGAGTCAGATGGTTTAACACAGGAGTTAGTTATTAAGCGTCAAAGTGGTTGAACTAAATCGTGTCCCCATATACATTCTAACGTCTTAGGTGAGAACATCTTAACGAGTTTTACTGTACTATTATAAAATGGCAAAAGAGCTTACTTTGAGGGTAGAGACGAGTTTTATTTTATTATTATTATTTTTTAAATTTTGAACGCTAATAACGAGTAAAATATTCATTACGACCTTTAATTAACCAAATTAACCTGTCGACCTTTAATTAAGAACCAAAATTTAATAGTATTAATGCCCCTTTATACTCAAGCCAAAGTGCCACATTTCGTTTCTTAAACTTTACCCATTCTGAGACATTGTTTAATATCTCAGAACAGAAAATAAAGAAATTAAACAAATTAGACGTTAACATACATGTGTGTGCGAATTTTTCCCCTTTTATTGACTTTTTGAGGGGTTCGAGAGGTCTCCAAACGTGTAATTTACAAAAAAAAACTTGGAGGGTTAAATTTGACACGATTCCAATACTTTTCCGTTTTATATACATAACAAGTTGGTAAGTAAAAAGGTGTCGGAGTCGGCGGATTTTTTGATGACTCCGACTCCGGCTAAAACACCAAAAACGCTACGACTCCGATTCCGACTCCGACTCCACAGCCCTGAAAACTACATTTTTAGATTCGTTTATAATTGTAGGAAACAAATTAAAACTTTTTCTTGTCTCCGGACCGAAATTGTCTTGTATGGAAATGGGTGCACTGAATTCGAAAATGAGCATGAAAATGCTCTATCACGCAAGGTTTAGCTGTTACAACTATATTTCAGTATGTTGAGAAATATATACAATGAAGATGCGGTGACGTAGAAGGGATTCTGTGTTATTTTCACTGTTGCTTTCTTTTTTGAGAGTACAGCGATAATCCTTGAGCATGGCTGGTCCCTGCTAACGAAATTTAATTTCAGAAAAGGTCTGATGTTGCCCGTTTATCGATCGCGTCACTCAAGTTGTGTGGAAATACGTCGAGATAAGATATGACTTATAGTAACACCATTGTCTATGACACCTGAAATTCGTGGTTATTTCCCAGGAATGCAGTCACCAGTTCTGAAATATGATCTCAAAGAAAATATATGTTTAATAAATAAATTGTTTTCTATAAAAGTCTTGAATTTTCATTGAACATCCCCCATCTTTTACTAGCATGTCCCCCGAAAATATTTTTCTCCAGTTGGCAACTCTCCCATTCTCCCTCCTTCCTTCAAAGCCACTTCGGCTACTCTACATCATCCGAAGATCACCGACCACTTTATCTTTTCTTTCAATCGAGCTGTAATTCTAGGGAGGAGCATCCAGGAGGAATCGAAGAGTGAAGACTATCGAAAGTAAAAAACGGTGGCTTCGAACCAGAAACTCCCAGGAGGTCACTCCGAGCGTTCTGGTGTTTTTATCAGGATTGGAAGACGACCGAAGGAAATCGGATCGGAGGAGAGCGGCCGGTTCCAGTCGCTCCCGGCGCCGACCGCTCTCGGGTTTCGTGATGCCGCCGGGTACCGACGTCACTCGTTCGTCATGGAGACGGTGGTGGTGGCGGCTGTGGTCGTCCTGTCGTTGGTGTTCTTAGGTTCGCTTCTATCCGTCGTCTTACTTTGTCGTCGCAAGTATCGCGGCTCCTGGCCCGACGCCGGGTGAGTCTCGTTTCTCTTTTCGGTTATTCGACCTTTCCCCGATCTGCGGACAGTCCGGTAAACGTCCTCCGTGCCTTTCTCTAATCCGTGGATTAAACTGTTACAAATAGTCCTCGCAATGTGTTATACGCCTCTTACTACTTTACCTAACTCGACAGACCGAAATAGAATTGATTTTAAAACGATTTCGGCTGGGTGATCAGCCAAAACTGTATGGATCTCATTTTCCCCAAAGAAATCGATATTAAGAAATTCCCCACGTCGATACGCCGATATCTGATCAAAACGTAAAGTAAAACTAAATTTTAAATTAAGAGTTTTAATTGACTAGTGATGGGATTATAATTGGGTCATTCGCTTAAAGCGTGACAAGTCGATGTTTACTTTAACCTTCTCTTTAGTTTTAACAATGTATTTCTTACTTAAAATAAGACGGTCTGTAATAAAGATTTTCATTCAAAATTCTTCTGTAATCGTTAAGAAAATATTCTAATTGAGGCCATATCATTATAATGTAGCTTTATGCAATGTCTCCGGTTATTTTAAGACGCTTTCTCAGTTTTTAACAGAATTTACAGGTTCAAATTCGTCTTTCTTTCGAAATAATTGTGATGTCACGTTTATGTTTAATAAGCAGCTATCGACCAATATTGTTAGACAGAGGTTTTCGGATCATAAAGTAAATTTTCAGCATGTTTAAAATTTTCTCGAATTAAGGAATTTTATTTTCTCCAATAATAATATTTGCATAGAAATGTTTTTAATTTCAAGGCTTGTAACTTATTACAAAACTAGCCCCCGCCACGCCTTGTTGTGGCTCAAAATGTATAACACTTCCCCAGTGGGGGAAAATTTTTCGAAAAATTTTTTCTTAGTGTACATTCTGTTGACGTATCCTATTAAAATGCAATCAAAAACGCAAAAACCCGCATCTAAAATAGTATAATAGAAGCCAAGTTTTTCAGAGTAAGCCTTAATCCTGTCTCTCTCCCCCGCGGGGGGAATATCGAAAAATCCCTTCTTAGTGTACATTCTGTTGACGTACTCTATTAAAACGCAATCAAAAACGGAAAAAACTGCATCTAAAATGGTATAAATAGAAGCAGAGTTCTTTACGGTAACCTTTTCCGTAAGGCTTACCGTAAAGAACTGTCCATCCCCCATGTTTAACGGAATAATATATAGCCTATGTCCACCCTGAAGTTCCATTCTAAATATTGGTGAAAGAATTTTTGAAATCGGATGAGTAGTTTCGGAGATTACCTGCTGCATACAAACTAACATACATACAAACATTACCTCTTTATAATATTAGTATAGATGTTTTTAATAATTTATTATTAATTATATTTTATAATCTGAAAACTTCAAAGATACAATATTACTTGTATGTTGTTTGGAAATAAGCACAAATTTGCTAGGGAGAACTTATCATACAGGAACACTTTTTCGATGCAAAGAGATTTCCTTTTCTATTTTTTTTGGGGGGCCATATGCCCCTCTTTAGTCCTTATCACATATAATGATAAAACTTGTAACTTTAAAAACTTTAAAACAATTAAATAAAAACAATTAAAAACCAATAAAAACTGGTCTTTAACCAGTTTTTATTGGTTTTTAATTGTTTTTATTCCTTTTATTAGTCAATTTTTTCTATATTTCATTAAGATTTATTTTTTAATTTTACAATTTTACTAGTTTTACCCTACGTTTTTAACACAGTTATTGCAGTTGTCTCCATTAGTTAAATTACAGTTTTATGGCCCGAAATGCATTTCCTTTTATAAAAAATAGAAAAGAAAATCTCTTTCCATCGAAAAAATGTTCCTGTATGATAAGTTCTCCCTAGCAAATTTGTGCTTATTTCCAAACAATATACAATCAAAAGGGAGAACAGCAAGAAATTAAGTACCATACAATAGTTCACTTTTTAAAATTATCATCGATAATCGTTATTGTCGGTACTCTCGACGCAAACCAATTTGACCCACTAGAGCAGTGTTTCCCAAACTTTTTTAGGCCATGCCCCACTTTAACATTTCTAAAATCATCATGTCCCCCCATAGATAATTTTAGTTATAAAATTTATTTTTGTTTTTTTTTAGTAATATGAATGATAATTTTAAAGCGATTTCTTACAACTGTTGTCAAAACAAAGAAACAAACTTTTAATAAATAAAAAAATAATAGATTTTAAAAACTTACTTTAATGTGATTTGTGGACTTGATGCTTTTTACACAGCGATTTTATATCTGGTTCAAGCTTAGTTAGCTTAAGTCTCAAATCTCCACGTTGTGTTATATCCAGACGATTTCTTTTTTTAATCAACAAATCACTCACAGCACTAAAGCCACATTCAGCTAGATATGAAGATGGAAACGGTAATAAGAGTTTTCTTGCACATTTTGTGGTATTGGGGTATTTAGCCTCTGTTTCATCGCAAAGC